GGATGGTGGCCCTGCGCGCAGCAGGCCGTGTGCTTGCACCCCCGCCGTCCTTATATCAAAAACAGCACAGAAAATGCTCGGTGGGTCCACCGACCATGACCCAGGAGTTGCCGCAAAGTGCATATTGAATTGATTTTTGACTACACCTTGGGCGATGCTTAAGAAAACTTAGGTTTTCGGCCAGAGTCTCGATTATTCTTAACGTTTCGATGTAAATCCCAAGATTGTATTAGAAATGTTGGGTTTTTCTTCAAGTTCTGAGACTATGAATTTCTTAACCCATGATTTCTTAAGCATTTCGCAGGGTGTAGGGTGGTGGAGGGTTGTTGGTATTGCACGAAACGGGTAATTTGCCGGCACCCCCACAGCCCCTGTGAAAACTGATTCGGGGTGATAGCTGGGCGTCCACGCATGAGCCAGATTCCGGTGCAGAGTGCATGCTGTATGGCTTTTTGAAAAGGATGGTGGGGGGGAGTGTCGTGGTATTTCCAGGTTTGTCGCCAGTCGGGTGGGGGTGGGGGTGTGTACTAATGAAGAGCGAGTGATCAAGTTACCCCAAACCGCAAGCCGTGTCGCTCATTCCCGCCCGCCCTCCCAACACGAACACATAGGCAGCATCCGAGCCTGAGGCCCCGATTCAAGTGAGTTCATGAGTCCCGTCGGAAGCACACGGCAACCCCTGTCAAACGCCAATGCAAAGTGATCGCGGGGCGCCCGCGCATGTTCCAGATTTTGCCACGAAGTGCATTTTGTATAATTTTTCATCCGGGATCGTGAGCCTGCACAAAGCAGCCAATATGAGGGTACCCCCCGCCGCCCACGCTTTCAAAAACCAATGAAAGATGATCGCGAGGTGCCCGCGCATGAACCAGCTTTTGCTACACAGTGCGCTTTGCAGTGTGTGTTGACAGGGACTGTGGGTCTGCGTAGAGCGGACACTTTGAGGGCACTCCCAGTCAAAAACCAGTGCAAAGTGCTCACGGGACACCCGCGCAAGGTTCAGATTTTGCCGCAATGTGAATTTTACACTGTGCTATGGCAGGGATGGTATGCCTGCACAGAGCGGACAATATGAGGGCACCTCCACCGTCCCTGCCAAATCAATACAATGTGATCGCGGGGCGTCCGCGCACGATCCAGATTTTGGTGCAAGATGCATTTTGTATTGCTTTTTGCAAGGGATGATGCGGGGGATGCCCTCATTGGTCCAGGTTCGTACGGTAGGTTCGCGTCGTGTCGACCGGCGGCGACCCCGCTAGCGGCGTTCAAGGTTGAACGCCGACGGCGGCCCAGAATCGGTCGATGTTGAACGATCGGACGTTGCGGAGACGGCCGATCGTTCAAGGTTGAACGATCCAGCGCGGGGTCGGGAACCAACGCCGGGGTCGACACGACACGAACCTGCCGTAGCTGGTCGGGTGGGGGAGAGGATGTATGTTAATATGGGACAGTGATCAAGTTATCCCTCCGCTGGACGTGTCGCTCTCTGGCCCGTCCTCCCACCACATAAGTAGCACCAGAGTCTCAGCATGAGCATTGCTGCCATCGACAATCATCGAGAACCAACGCAGACTCCAGACAGGTGTGCGACGCCCGCGAGGTGCACCGCGCGTCTTTCAAATAATGGTGCAACGTGATCGCTGGGCGCCTGAGTATGATATAGATTTTGCCTCAAAGTGCATGTCGCACTGTTTTTTGAAAGGATTGATGGGCCTGCGCGCAGCAGGTAATAGGCTGGCCCCTCGTTCGTCCCCGTCAAAATCAATGCAACGTGACCGTTTGGCACCCGCGCACGGTTCAGATTGCGAAGGCCTCGTGGCCGGTGCCGCCGACCCCAAAGGGAGACGACGACGACAACGGCGGTGGCAGCGACGACGACGACGCTGACGTGGGTCATGCTTCTTGGGGTCGCTTCGGACAGCTCTCGGGGGCCTTTGGGGAGGAATTTCCAGGCCTCTTGAGAGGCTCTTGGGGGCCTCTTCGGGCTTCCTGGGGACCTCTTGTGGGCCTCTTGGGGCCTCGCGGGGAGCCTCTCGGGGCCGAGGCCTCGAAATGTCCGTTCGGGTCCCCTGTCAGAGCACGCTCTTGGAGCCGTCTCGGGGGCCTCTTGGGCCGTCTTGGAGGCGTTTTGGGCTGTCTTGGGGTACTCTTGGGCTGTTTTGAGGCCCTCTTGGAGGCCTCTTGGGCCGTCTTGGGGCGTTCTTGGGGGCCTCTTGCGCCGTCTTGGAGCGGCGGGAAGTGGAAAAGGCGAGAATGCTCAAATCTGTAAATACCAGCAGAAATCACTGAATTTGGCCTCTTGGGGCCTTCTCGGGAGTGCTCTTGGAGGCTTCTTGGGGCGTCCTGGAGGCTTCCTGGGTAGTCTGGAGAGCGTGAAGGCGTTTGGGACCGATTGTTTTGTGATTGGGGACCCTCTTGGACCGTCTCGGGGGCCTCTTCGGGTAGTCTTGGCTTGTCGTGGTACTTTCTGAGGCCCGGGACCCTCTGGGGGGGATGCGTGTTTGACCCGGGTCCCCTTCGACTCGATTACGACATTGCTAGATTCTTCTCTCGCTGACAAGCTTGAGGAGGGTGCAGGGAAAGGGGACGACGGAGACGACGGTTGACGGCGACGACGACTCGAACAGGCAAGACTGCAAGCCCTTCACACACGCCGACAGGGTCGACGGATTTTGCCGCAATGTGCACTTGGTAGTGTTCTTGTTACAGGGTTCTCGGAGGAATCAGGAGCAGTGATATCCCCCCTCGAAGGGGAAGAGGGGAATATGAAATAGGAAACGCTCTAAGCCACCTCCGCCCATAGGGCTGGTGGGATTCAAGATGATTCAAATCAACGCAGAGCGGTGCAAAGAAACACACGACAATAAAAAGCAGCGGCACGAAAGATTGCAACGCAGTGCAAAGCATTGCAAACCACGGCACAGCAGCGAAAGCAATGCAAAGCAGTTCAACACAATGCATAGCAATACCAAGCACTTCAACGCATTGCGGTGCAGCGCAGTACAAAGCAGGTGTTCGCAAAGCAATGAGGCTGCAGCAAGATGGCATCGGGGCGGCAATGGGGCGTCAACGCCAACGGAGGATTGGGAGCTAATTTCCAAGCCTTGTCCGGCATTGCCGGTTCCTGTTCGAGACTCCATCGTTGCAGTGTAGATGTGCTCTTTCACAGTATATGTTAGAGTGCGGCTCCCGCGCGAAATCATTGCTTCGGGAACGTCAGTGTTGTTTGTGCCATTCATCGAGTGCCCGCGCGGATTCAAACATGAGACAGAGCGTCTTTCACGTGCCCTGCGGCAGATGGGGGGGGGACAAGCCACCCCCCTCCCGCCCCTGGCCCAGGGAGGGAGGGGGGCTTGCGACAACTGCTCCATGTCCCCTCCTGCATCAAGGAGGTGGACGGGGGGATCGTGAACCTCCCCCCCCCTTCCCGGTGAGGGGGGGGGAGCTCTGACAACACCCCGCCCATTTGGCGAGCCGGCAGTCGACAGCGACGGCCGACAGCGACAGCCTCTTGCTTTCTGGACGCCTCATGAGTGTCTCAGAGGGGCACGTCGGGAGCCCGTCGGGGGTCTCAGGGCCGTCTTGGGCTCGATTGATCCACCGAGGTCTCCCCAATAGCCTCGGACAAACGAAGTCAGGGCCGTTTCCTAGCGGGTCGTGTGGCCGTCTCGGCGGGCCCATTGGGCCGTTTTGGGTGGCCTTCGGTAGCCTTTGGGCCGTCTAGGTGCTCTCAAGTTTGGGCGTCTTGGGGGCTTCATGGGGCTCTCTGAAGCTTCCCCGGGCCGATCTGAAGCCGAACACTTGGAAGCAGCACGCGAGGATTTCCCGCATGTGTTTCAATGCTCTCCTCCTCGCGAGGCTTCGCCAGAGGCGGCCTTGGGCGTCTCTTGGGGCCTCTTTGGGCTCTTCTGGGGCATCATGAAGAGACCTTCTGGCTTCTAGGGCTTCTTGTTGGGGCTCGCGGGGCCGTCGTTGCACGGTCTCTGGGGGCGTCTTTTGCAGCCGTCTCTTGGGCCACTCCACAGGGGCCGACACGGAGCAATCCAGAGGTCGCTTCGGAGAGCGGGCGGGATCCCAGGGTGGGACCTTGGTCGCTGGTGGGGAGCGGGAGTCGCCTCGCTAGACAGCTGCGGAAGCCTCACCAGACGACCATCCCAGCGTTCCTCCGCCTGAACGGTGGCGGTCCTTCCTACTTTGGCGGTTGAAGAGGGTTGCATTTCACAGTGTCGTAACAGACGTTGGCGGAGAGCTCCTTCAAGTCAGCGGAAGCAATCACAGGAGCCGCTCCTTTGATGGAAACAGGCAGGAGAAGAGGGGAACATGGGTGTACGCACACAAAGCCCATGGATGATTGCTTGATGATGTCCGAGTGCATTCATACACGCGGGCTGTGGGGGAAGATTTTGCGAGTCGAACATCTGAGCCGACACTTAAGCTCGGTGCAGCGCAAATCGTTGCTATGTGCAGAACTTGCCCCTTGGCGTGAGACCGCTTTATTATCCGCGGCGCAAAACAGATGCAATACATCGGTTCGCCATCTGACCAATGTGTCGTTTCATGTTCCATGCGGTGCTGGCGAAAATTGTCCAGGTATATCGACGCCTTAGTTCAGATGAAGACTGCATCACCAAGAGGAAGTAAGCCTTGTCAGATGAACGTGGAGTGTGAACAGCGCAGCGTGTGTGAACGTAATATGGCACATGCGTCGCGGTCGGGGCAGTGGGTGGCGAGCCTTGGTTGGGAGAGCTTCGGATGATCTCCCTACGATCCGTATGCCATTTTGGCTCGAGTGGGTGAGTCTCTTCCCAAGTCTCATCTTCAGCACTTGTGCTAGGCAGGAGCCGTGCTTACTCATGGAGCCGATTTCTGAACAAGCGACTGCGTTCACTACGATCGACTCCGTCGCCGGCTGGGTTGGGCTGCCGCATCGTGAGCAAGACGGCAGAGCGCTTTCCTCACCTTGTGGAGGCTGGAACATCGGCGCAATGCTGCCCTAATGGATGGTGGCGGGCATTCCGGCCAAGAAATACGAGAAGTACGTAGAGATTTGGGCGATGGACGGCAGTGTTCCGTCGACCGTCCAACATGTTATTGTGGGGACGATGGGGACGGCCTGCTGGATTTCTGCAGGAGTCGAGAAGTCGCGCGAGCAGGCGGCTAAGGACCAGATGAAGATGCGAGAGCATGCCATCAAGCTGGCGACGCTGCAGTCGCAGCCGGCAGGTGTGACAGCGGCGCCAGGTGGCTCAGCGGCCGTTTCTAATGCGTCCGGAGGCCAACATGGTGGTGAGGGCCGCGTGATCAAGCTCACCAAGCTTATGCGGCCAAGCCCACAGTGGCGGAGTTCCCGCCCATGGATGACGAACACCTGGAGAGGGCACCGCATCAAGGGCGACGTGCCGCGCCTTGTGGAGGACGTCGCACGCGAACAGCTCATGGGCCTTCGGTCGCTTTTCTCCAACCTAGGGTTTGAGGTGTGGAGTCGGGTTTTGGGTTTAGGTTTTACGGTGTCAGGTTATGGTTTTGAATTCAGCGATTAGATTTCGGTTCGGGTTTGGTTTCGGGTTTCGGGTTTCGGGTTTCGGGTTTCGGCCCGGGGCCGCCCTGCGCGGACTTCGCGATATTCGGCCCTTTCGGCAGAAGGATCCAGAAGAAGCTACAAATGATTGGCCTGGTGATCGGTGCGTCCAGCGTTTTGCAACGGCAGGCGCTGCACGGACCACCGACGGTCGACGACTGGAAGGCTAGATGGATAGTCTTCCGCGCCGCGGCCGTCGTGCTCAACCAGCTTTTCCCCTGCCACCGCTGACCACTACTCGGGGGTGGACAGAACCCCCAACAGTGACACGTCGATTGGTGAATTGTCCGTTTTCGGTTCTCGAGAGGGCGCCGTGGCCGTTATTTTCCAGGCTTGCGCCCGCCAGGTTTGGGCCTCAGGTCGTTTTCACTAAACCACGTTTTACTAAAGGGAGGTCTGTCCATCCCCGAACTACACGACGCGTATCATTGAGTATGGACCCGCTACGGTGACATTGTGTGGCCCCTGATCTACCAGGCTGGCGTGCGCGATTGGGGAACCTTCAAGCCGTGTTCCTGCTAAGCGAGCTTTTGTTTTGCTTAGTGCGCTTCCGATGTGCCTAATCCTGTTGCCACTCCCGCCTCCTGCTTTTGGCGTCGTACTGTAGTACTTCATGCCAAATTACATGGTGAGCTCTGGAAAACAAGTCCACTTCCTCCTCTTTCTCCACCCGCTCCTCCTTATCGTGCTGTTTCCCCCGCGGTGAAAACTTCTGATCCATGCCCATCTGCACTTACATTTTGCATATGATTTGCGCGCGCATGGAGTGCCAATGCATTGCGTGGCGCGGCATTGCTTTACAACGCATGGGGCTGCATTAGTGTCGCATCACGTCCCGCTGCGTTGCGTTAGCGCTGCGTTGAAAGATCACCGCGCTACTGGGCCCCGAGTTGCCAGGGCCAAAAATGGCCAGGCCCATTTCGCCCGAGACATCCTCACAACTCTGGGATGGGAGATGCCACCCGCGAAGTGGTCCAGTCCGTTATGCATGAGATATCCTCGCAATTATGGGTTCAGATCCGCCCCTAACCTGAGGGGGTCCAGCCGGTTTCGCCGTAGACACCCTCGCATCTCTAGGCTCAGACATGCCGCGCGGGAGGTGATCTGGTCGCCAAAAGTGGCCATTCTGTCTTCATACATTCTCGCCTGGGACATCATCCCAACTCGGCGAGATGCCGCGCGCGAGGTGGTTTGACCAAATTTGCGTGAAACATATTCGCAACTCTTGGATCCTAGATGCCGCGCGCGAAGAGGTGCGGCCCAGTTCGCGTGAGGATCTCTAGCATTCCAGATTCAGATATGTCCTGGCTCGATGTGGTCCAGCCCAGTTCGCCCGAGACATCCTCGCACTTTTCGGCTCAAATATACTTTTCGAGAGGTGGTCTGGCCCATTTTCACCAAAAACAACATCGCAGCTCTGGGATCGGATATGCTCTGACCCGAATTGGTCCAGCCCGACTCGCTTGGGACACCCTCGCGGTGGTCCAACTCAACTCGCCAGGGGTGTTCTCGCAACTTGGATATCCGAGATGACAGGCGCGAGATGGTCCAGCCAAACTCGCCTGAAGCATCCTCCAAGCTCTGGGTTCCGAGATGCCGCGTGCGAAGTGGTCGGGCTATTTTTGCCGGACTTATTGTCGCAACATTGGGTTCCAAGATGTCGCGCGCGGTTTTGAGATACTCCGACCTGAAGTGGCCCAGCCCGTTTCGCCAGAGACATTTTCGCAATTCCAGGCTCGGCGATGCCCCGCGTGAGGTGGTTTGGCTTGTCTCGCCTGAAACATTCTCGCATCTCTGGTTTCAGAAATGCTGTGGCCTGAGGTGATTTGGCCCAAATCGCCCGAGACATCCTCGAAAGTCTAAGCTCGAAACTGCGACGCGCGATGTTGTCCGGCCCAACTCGCCTGAGACATCCTCGCGCCTTCGGTTCCGATGTGCTCCTGACTAGAGGTGGTTTGGCCAATTTCGGTTGCGACATTTTCGCAACTCCGGGCTCGGACATGCCAGGCTCAAGGATGGCGCGCTCAAGGCACTCATGCTGGATTCGCCTAATCAATCTTCGCAGCTCTGGGCTCCAAGATGCCGCGTGAGAGATGGTCAGGCCGATTTCGCTCGAGACTTCCTCGCAACTCTGGGCAGCGAGATGCCCCGCGCGAGGCATTCTGGTGAGCGTTGCCTGAGACATCCTCACAGCCGGGCCCCGAAAGGTAAGAGAGAAAAGTCAGACGGAGCTAGGCCCAAGCTGCCTGTTACACCACATAGCTGATATCGAATTTCAGGAGCGAAAGAAGGACGTACATGTACATAAATCCACGTTGGTTTCGAGAGTACGCATTGCGCAAATGTTCGTATCACACGGCCAGTCTCGCGGATCGAGGGGCCGTGTTCATGTACATAGCTCGGCGCGTACGTCCTTTGTGGGCTCCCTAGAATTGTGCCCCATGAGGGGCCCGGGCGCCCCTGCCCCGAGGGAAGAGTTAGCTGGCGCCAAGGCGAGAGCATGCTTTCTGAGCCATGTGAAGTCTCGGGCGGGGGGGGCGCCATGCCTCGGTGCAAGTTGACATCTCCGGCGAGAGGAGAACTTCAAGGACAGGAGGAGAACCAGGGGGGCGAGAAGGGGCGAGAACCAAGAGGAGGAGCATCAGGAGCACGATGGCGAGAGCGAGGAACAAAAGAGAACGAGGCAGAAGAACGACCAGGAGAAGGCGGGACATGATGTAGGGGGGATAAGGAGGGGAAGGGAAAGGAGGGGGAGGGGAAGAAGGAGGAGGCGCGGGAGGGGGGGAGGGGACGACGCCAGCAATGACGACGACAGCGACGACATCAACGGGCGCCGGCAAATCGGGGGCACGGGGGCGGCGATTCGGAGGACGCGCAAACAATATTTGGAGCCACCTTGGTTCAAAACCGCTGCTTGGGATGCTGGACTGGGCTATAAATCGGTATGTTGCACGAGCTCCACGGATTGAGGGCGGTTCGCTTTCAAAATGTGGAACTCGCTTTAGCGCCGCGCACCTTTGTTGTACAACATGCAAGAACTTCATGGATATAGTACGGTGGCTTTCAACATGTGGATCTCGCCTTAGCGCCGCGCTTAAGCATTGCAAGAGCTTTGTTGTTTCTACGGTTAGCGTTCCCGAAATGGCGTTTTTTAGCGAATGAAGTATGTCACGGCGCAACAGTTACGTTGATACGAGGTGTTGAAGTCCCAGGAATGGGTTTGGCACCGCTCAGGATCGCCAAGACGTGGTAGTCACGTTAACTTGTGGCGTAAGTCCCCAGAATGGTGCTCTTGCGCGCTTCAGGATGTTCACACGGCTGCCCCCCAACAGGACAATTCCTGCAGATGAAGTGTCCCCTTTCGTGGGGCTCACGAACAGGGATTTTGGAAGTGGAGGGGTATATCCACATCTTTGATGAGTCTTGGGTTTACAGTGGCCCTACTCCTCCTCCTCATCCTCCTCCTGTCCTCTTTCAGTCATCCCCTTCCTACATATCCCCCCTGCCGCCCTCCCCATTCTCGCCATACTACCCCTTCCCCTCCGCAGCCAAACAATTCTTGCCAACCCCTCTCTTGGTTCTCGCCACCCTCGGCCCCTTTTTGGGGGCCGATGCCTCTCGCCCTGGATCCAGGGCGGAAGACCACCTTCGGGGAATGAGTCGGGACCTCCAGGCGGCTGCGGATTGAGAAGAGTCACGTCGTCGGATGTTTGGGAACCGCGAAAGGCGCCCGCGTTGACTCTTTGATCAATGCGTCGGAGGTCCAGTTTCCCCTCCTGGCTGCTCTTGCCGCTGCTTCTCCCGTTCCTCTTCCTCCTCCTCCGCGGTTCTCGTTGGGCTTCAGGAGGTGAGCGAGAAGGAAAGGGAGGAGGAGAAGGACAAGGATACGGATAAGGAACACATGTAAGAGTAGGGTAAGGAGTACGAGAGGGGAACGACAAGGAGATCTGGGTGGCCATTGCCCGATGACTTGGCGTTGGATGATCCCCCTCTTCACCCACCTCATGCAGCGAGGCAAAGACGTGCGCGCACATGAATTCACATGCTGTTCGAGAGATCGTATTGCGCGAGCGCTCATGTGACCAATGTGGCCTCGCGAACTGGGGAGCATACGGTCGGGAATTTTTGGTTACCGTGTCGCTCTGCCGGTTTTGGCCCACAACGCTTCGGAGCAACACGCTATCCACTCGCAAGGCATAGCGCGGGGCTGCCGCCGCGACACGCTAAGCAACAGTTCCCGACCGTAGTCGTGTACGTGGCCTGGCACGCCCGCATTTCTCTTGTCACCGACGACTGGGTTCCTTCCCCAGACGAAGTTTTTCCCCTAGATCATATTCCTATAGCCCTGGGGCCCGCGAGCGCCTTCCGGAGACCAACATCGAGGAACAGCGCTGGGACGAAGAGAAGAGACACATCGTACGAGACATGGGCTGGGGCCCCCTCCGTCTCCCTCCGCCGGCCAGCAGCCAGGCTCCAGAGGCATCACATCGTGTTGTGGACGCTGGTTGGTGCTTCCCCCCCCGTCCAAAAAGTGGCGCTGGACACAACAAAGTCTCCCTCCGCGGCCCCCAGGGGGACCGAGAGGTCGCCACGAACGGCGGACGTATCGTCGTCGTCGTCGTCGTCGTCGTCGTCGTCGTCGTCGTCGTCGTCGTCGTCGTCGTTGTCCTCCGCGCGCGCCCGCGAGCGCCCTCCTGTGGGCGGCTCGGCGCCCGACGGCCCGGCCCCGCGCGCCCCCGCGCCCGGCCGCGCGGCCCCCGCGCGCGGCGCCGCGTTCGGCGGCGGCCCCCGCGCGGCCGCCCTGGCCGCCTGCCGGACCTCCGCCCTCGGCTCTCCCGTTCCTCTTCTCCTCCCTCCCTCCCTCCTTGTCTCCTCCCCCGTTCATCTTCCCCGCTGTTCCTCCTCGTCAGCATCGCCATCATCATCACCCACAGCATCACCATCATCATCATCATCATCATCATCATCATCATCATCATCATCATCATCATCATCATCATCATCATCATCATCACCATCACCATCACCATCACCATCATCACCATCACCATCACCATCACCATCACACCATCACCATCACATCACCATCAGCATCAGCATCAGCATCAGCATCATCATCATCATCATCATCATCATCATCATCATCATCATCATCATCATCATCATCGTCATCATCATCATCACCATCATCATCACCATCATCACCATCACCATAATCGTCGCCCGCGCACGACTCCGGCGGCGGCAGGCCGCGGCCGCGGCCGCCGAGGCAGCCGAGGCGGCCCGCCGCGGACGCGGCGGCTGGCCGAGGGGTGCCGCCACACGGGCGGCCCTTCGACGAGCCCGAGGGCCCCCGCGGGTGCGCGGCGAGCGGCGCCCTGGCGGCGGACCCGGCGGGGCGGCAGGCGGAGCGCTCGGCGCCCTGGCTCCAGGGGGGTTCGAGGTAGTAGGTCCTACTACCTCGAGGGGCTCCTAAGGAGCACCTAAGGGAGCACGAGGTAGTAGGTCTTACTACCTCGTGCTCCTCGAGGTAGTAGGTCCTACTACCTCGAGGAGGTAGTAGGGGTGCTTCTAAGGAGCACCCTGGTGAAGGCCACGAGGACGACGAGGACGACGACCACCAGCGGCGACAGCAACGACAACAGCAACAACAATGGCAACGAAGATGCCGACGACGGCGACGACGACCAGCGGCGGTGACGACGACGACGACGACGACGACCGGCGGGAAAGCCTCCAGGAAGCGAGGTTCCACCAAGTTGGGATCTATTTGCAAAAGTGGGTTCCCGCGCGGCGCGGCGTGGCCGAGGAATGACGTCCTTCCAGACGCAAGGGGATCCCAGGACATTTCGCATCTTGCGGGCCCACCTGACGAGATGGGGGGCTTGGCGGGGGTGCCCCCGGGCCTCCGAGCATGCGGCTGCTTTGGTCCCGGCTTTTGTCCTCGGCAGCTTGCCGCGTCGTTTTGGAGCCCAGGGGGCTCTCTGGGCCTCATGAGTGGTGCGCTGGAGGCCGTCGGGGCCTCCTTCGAAACCCACGGGCCCAGGGGGCACCTTCGACCAGGGGCGCTCCTGGCAACACCCGATCCATGAGGCTGGTTAGCAAGCCCTGAAGCCATCAAACATGAGTCTGGGAGGAAAAAGCTGCCCCAGGGAAGGGTTTTTGGCCCCGTCCGAGGGCCGGCGCAGTTTCCTGGGTGGACGGTCGACGTCCTATGGATGGCCTTTTCGGGGAGTAGGGTCGAGGGGCTGTGGGGGTCGAGGAGAGGGGTTCGACGGTTTTCGCCCCGTCCCAGGTCCGACTAGGTTTCCGAGGGTCGACGATCGACGTCCTGTGGCCTTTCTTGGGATCGGGAGCAGGTTCTGTGCCCTTTCCGACGGATCGAGGATCGAGGAAGCTTTCGATGACGGCGGAGGAGCAAGTGTGTGTGTGTGTGTGTTTGTGTGTTGGTGTCTCGGTGTGTTTGTGTGTGTGTGTCAGTGCGCTTGCACGTGTCAGTCAGTGCCAGTACAGGTGTCAGTGTGTGTGTGTGTGCGTGTGCGTGTGCGTGTGCGTGTGCGTGTGCGTGTGCGTGTGCGTGTGTGTGTGTGTGTGTGTGTGTGTGTGTGTGTGTGAATGTGACTGTGAATGTGTGTGTGTGTGTGTGTGTGTGAGCGCGTGCGCTCGTGCGCGCGTGCGCGCGTGCGCGCGTGCGCGCGTGCGCGTGCGCGTGCGCGTGCGCGTGCGCGTGCGCGTGCGCGTGCGTGCAGGCCCAGGCGCTGTGCCTGCCTGCCTGCCTGCCTGCCTGCCTGCCTGCCTGCCTGCCTGCCTGCCTGCCTGCCTGCCTGCCTGCGTGCGTGCGTGCGTGCGTGCGTGCGTGCGTGCGTGCGTGCGTGCGTGCGTGCGTGCGCGTGTGTGTGTGTGTGTGTGTGTGTGTGTGTGTGCGTGTGTGTGTGGGGGGGGTAGGCGCGCGCGCCTCATTCTTTTCCGACCTTCTACGCCGCTCTGTCGTCGCGCGCGCGGGCGCGACGCCCAAACGTGCGTGTGTGTGTGTGTGTTTGTGTGTGTGTTAATGTGTTGTTGTGTATCCATGGTGCCATGTGCTTCATGCTATATTTTGCTGCGGTGGCGTCACTCGGTTGGAGGGGGAAAGTGTGTGTGTATGTCATGTGGGTGCTTTTATTGAGCTAAGCGCGTCCCGCCTTAGTAGTAGTTGCGGTGCTGTCACTCTGCCGCCAGAGGAAGGCTGTTGTGCTCGTTTGTATGTCCCCGGCCTTCCTGATCCAGGGGCACGCTTTGGGCCCCGGAACCTGTAGGGTCCAGCCGTTTGAATCTTCCCTCGATTGCCGGGCCTCAGGAGCCACGGGCCCCCGACGCAAAATGATACAAAAGCCAGGGCGCCAGAGGCCTGGGCTCGCAGGCATGTTCGCGCCAGCGGGATGGTCGCGGCCCAGGGCTGGTGGCAAGGTCAGGGGCAACGTTAGGGGGGGATGGGCTCCAGTGGGATTTCATCGGCCTCCACTCGCCCATCGATTGCCGATCGGTACACCTTCGGCGATGCTTAAGAAAACCTAAGTTTTCGGCCAGAGTCTCGATTATTCTTAACGTTTCAATGTGAATCTTAAGATTTTAACAGAAAGGTTGGGTTTTTATTCAAGTTCTGAGACTATGAATTTCTTAACCCATGATTTCTTAAGCATTTCGCAGGGTGTAGGGGCCTGATAGTCCACCCCGCTCAGGACGGTGCGGATTCGGCATCGGGGGCCCATCGGCGATGCACCGCGGGTTCAAGTCCGGCGGTCCCCCCCCCCCAGCGGCGGTCCCCCTAGCGTTCCCCCTGACAAGGGCGGCGGCAAGGCTTCAGAGGCGAACAGCCTGCTACAGGAGATGAAGATGAAGCAGCGCCTACGGGAGGAGGAGAACAAGAGGGTGCAGGAGCCTACCATAATATTTCAGTACGTACCATGTGCTCACCTGCGTACACTTAAACGTATATTTAAGAATTAAGCGTTTTTGCATATGTATATGCATGTGCATATCTGTATATAAAGGTGCAGTTCTAGATGCATGTGTCCATGTTTAAGTACATGCCTATGGGAGTGCGGGCACATGAATGATGCCAGAGAGCGTCCTTGTCGTTGCTCGTGGGACCCCTTCCCCGTCGGCGCGCGAGCGCCTAGATAGCTGCGCTTCGCTCCTTGGGGCTCTGGTTCCGCCGTCGTGCTTGCACTGTCTGGGAAGGGCTGGCCCTGCTACTCAGCTCTATGCAGCTGCACTTTTTTGGCTCAGGGTCCTTTCTGCGACCTGCGGCCTCGAGCTGCATGCAGCCCGGAGGTCTGCCTGGGATCCTGAGCGGCCCCATCACCGCGATTGTGCTCTCGATAGGGCTGCGGGGGCAGCCTTGTCCTCTCGGGCCGCCTTGCCCGGAGCCGCCGAGCTGCGAGTGCATCTTCCCAGAGCGCCCACCTCCCCAGGCGTGGGTGGGCGCGACGTGCCCCGAACCAGCTTTCTGTCCGCCGTGCCCGACGCTGGAGCTGGGCTGGGCTGGGAGGAGGTTGCCGCGATCGGGATCGTGAGCTTCGGCGTGCAGGCGTGATTCACAGCGCTGTGGGGCCTCCTGGTGAGACTGGTCGGCCGAGGGCGTGCGGGCCATGGCGCTCGTTGGGCTCGACGCGGAGGAGGAGTGCTTGAGGCGCCCCATTCCCGGCAGGCACTTCCTCGCGTGGTGCGACGCGGACCTCGTGCACCACGAAAGGATCGCGATGTGGCCGCAGACCTGGGCCAAGTGGGTCATATCGACGCCTGATCTGGACATGTACGCGGAGACCATGGACGGCAGCGACGGCGCCAACGGGGTGACGAGGATCCTGGACCTTCGCCCAGGCGGGCGGCTGCCGCGGCTAGACAAGGCAGCCCACAGGTCCAGGGATCTAGTGGGCCCGGACGACTTGAAGGGCTGCATCCGAGCTGGTCGGCGCATGGCCCTCGAGGACTGGGCGGCCGCGGGCGATCAGCCGGTCCAGTGGAGGTCGTGGACGCCGCGATGCCAGACAGGGAGGTGGTGCCGCTGGACACGATGTTCGGGGGCCGTTTCCTGGCTCGGAGGGTGTCGCTTCGCCGCGGAGGAGCGGCGCCTACCGGCGGCCCTCCGGGAGACGAGGGGGCGGGGGCGGCTGGTGGTGCGGCCGACGGCAAGTTTGCAGCCGAGGGCTACCCTCAGCGCGGGCCGCTGGACACGCCAGAGGGGTACGCGTGGCTGTTGATGGAGAGCAGCCGTGTCGGCGAGCTGGGCAGCGAGGTGACGCTCGGTCCTGACGACGTCTGGCTCTCCGACTACGACGCCATGGTGATCCGTCGAGGCCAGGGCCGCCGTGCTGAGCTCGTCCCGCTGGCAGATGTGGACGAGGCTAGGCGAGCCCGTCGGGAGGAGCTAGCCGCCCAGCTGGGGGCATACTCGGCCCGACGCCGTCGCCGCCGCCTCTGGAGCCGCCCCCCAGGCCACCCCCAGCCGTGCCCGAGGACGCGGGGTGCGGCCGGCAGCACGGCCGCGCCCCCTGCAGTGGCCGAGGATGATCGGACGTTCTGGATGGACTACGACGACCAGGGCGAAAGGTATAAGACGCACCGCAAGGCGGTGCAGGAAAGCTATCATGTTCCTGATCGGCACTGGCCTCTAAAAGGCGGGTCTACTTACTTGCAGGTGATGAAGCGCATCGAGAGAAGCGGCGGAGACCCGAAGTTGCGGTTGCAGCTCTGGGCTCGAACAGGCAGGTGGACGTGAATGACGCAGCGATGCATGAGCTGATTTGTCTGGTCGACATGATGTTCTACGCGCCGACGTTCGACCAATTCAATGCCCCCGCGCTGGCCAGCTTCGAGGTGCTGGCGCGACGGTTCCAGACCATCCCTGGGCGGGCCCCGAACTGGCAGATGGCTCGCTTCTAAAGCGAGGTGGTGGCGGCGGTGGGCGCCACCGCCCCAGGGCCGAGGCAGCGCGGCGCCAAGCGCGCCAAACAGGAGATCGACGTGGAGACGGGGGCCCGGCGGGTGCGAGGGCCCCCGGGCGCTGGCAGCGGCTCGCGCCGACGAGATGCCCGAGGGCGAGTCCGGCATGGGGCCCAAGGGCTGGGGCCAGGGGCGCCGCGGCGGCTGGGGGGGCGGCAAGGCCGGGTTGGCCGGGGCAGGGGCCCCGCAGCCGCCGAGAAGTCACGCGCCATCTGCTCCCTTTGCCGCGCTTGGAGGCGCCGCAGACAGCGCGGGGAGGCGGTCGCCTCAGTCGCGGGGCCCGTGGCCGCCAATTGCACATCAAGCTGGTCAACAGAGCGATCGACGCCCTGAACTGGTTTGCGAGGGCGGCCTGCTCGCCAGCGGTCGGCCGCGACGGCGACGTGGACATCCGCAGCGAGGCGACTGCGCGCGTCGATGGATTGGCACGGGCCCAGGGGCCGGAGCCTGGCGCGCCCTCGCCGAAAGCGGCCTACCTCGATCTGTTCCGAGGTCGCGGCTCATATGAGGAGCCGGGCCAGCCGGACATATATGCTCCCCTTCGGGCTCGGGCTCGTCTCGCTGCCGGAGAGCGCCCAGGGCGCCCCGCGCCTGGAACAATTGCTCGACGCTGAGGGTTTTTGTTTTCTGGAAGGTCGCGGAGAGCGGGCGCTGCGTAGCGTCTCTGATTTCGAACGCGCCCAACAGGGCGACCCAGCGCGGCCTCACCTGGGCCCCGCGCTCGCGAAGATCAGGCGGCCGTCGGTTCGTTTTGCGAGGAGGCTGCGTTCGATTGGCATGTTACGTTTCACATCGGACACGGTTGAATTTGTCGGGGCGCTCTTCTTCTTCTGGAAGGGCAGACAGAAGATGGGGATGATGGCAGGCGCGCGCGCGCGGCCAACCAGCGGCTGCTTCCTCCACCTCGCGCGGACCCGCTGACGGCGGAGGGCCCGTCGCGCCTCGACGCGGTCGCGGGCGACGACCCCGCGTGCTCAAGGAGTCGAGCTGGGGCGTATCGCGGGCGCTTCGCCCGGGCGCGCGCGACGCGGAGAACTGCTCCCACGGGTCGGCGATGCCGGCCTGGGCGGGCCCGCTGTTCGCCTTTCCCGCCATTTCTGTCAACGAGCCGCTCCTGGGCTCTCTCGAGATAGTCGAGGGCAGCGTGGCGAGCGGCGATGGCGCGGTGCATCCGCGCTGCCGCCCCCTGCCTATGGGCTGCTCGTGGTCCTTGCATTTCTGCCAGAACGCCGACGCGAATCTAGCGCGGCGGCGCGAGTCGCGCGAGCAGGGCCTCCGGCGCCACGCGCGCGCACAACCTCGGGGTTCTCGACCAGAACGCTGCGAGGCGGAGCTCTTCGAGTCGAGTCTGCCCTCGCCGTCTTCGCGAACTGCGACCGCCCGCGCGCGACGATCACCGGCAAGCGGCGCCGCCGCTTGGAGCGGGCGTTGGCCTACGCGCTGCAGCGAGGCAAGCTCTCGGGCCGGGGCCTGGAGCGCCCCCTGGGCCATTGCTCCTACGCGGGGCCGGCCAGGCGCGAGGCGCTCGGCGTCTTCTCCGCCTGCTGCGCGCTCGCGCGGGCTGGCTACTGGGGGCGGCGGAAGATGTGGACGTCGGCGCGCGAGGAGCTCTGCTGCTTCCGGGGCCTCCTGGCGTTCCTGTTCAGCGACTGGGCGTCGCCCTGGAATGCTGCGTCGCGGCGCCGGGCGCGTCCGAGAGCAGCTTCGGCGCCGCCTCCATCATGATTGGCGCCGGGTTGCGCGGGTCGGGCGCGTCGCCGAGCGGAGCCGCCCCCGTCTGGACCTGGAGCTGGCGCCGCGCCAGCGCGGCACGCAGCGCGCGGGCTTCGTGGATGACGAGGGCGCCGGCCCACGCCGCCCGTCCGCGCCCGGTGAGACCCTGGCAGGCGTTTGGATTGGATGGAGAGAACGAGGAGGTGCCCGCCGGGTGGCTTGACCAGGCGCGGCGGAGCCTCTGCCGCAGCGGAGCCTGGGCCAGGGCCGAGGGCGTCGCCATTTTGGAAGCCCGAGCTGTCCTGGTCGCCGTTCGTCGCCTCGCCCAGACGCGGTGGGGGCGCGACATCGGGCGCGTGCATCTGTGCGACAATATGGGAGTCGTTGTGTGCTTCCGTCGCCATCAGTCGAAAGGTCATTCAATGCTGGCCGTCATCAGGCGCGTCAGCGCCTACAGCGCGCTCGCTTTTTTTTATGACAGCGCTTCCTGTTCTGGCCTGGTACATCCCGCCCCACATCCATGGGCTGGACACCCAGGTCCGAGGAGACCCAAGGGGGCCAGATTGTCAGCAAGCAAGCGTCGGGTCGAGCTCTCTCATCAACATGTGTACGAGACAGCTACTGGACGAACACGTGAACACGAGCTTCTAGCCATCAGACATCATGCAGAACAATGCCACATGGAACAGCCTTGTACTCTACCAGCGGAACCGCGGGAAATTACACTTATAGTTAAACCTGAACATAATGAATTGCATCATCAGCCAAACGTGAGCGTCATGAATCACATCAACAGCCAATCCTCTCCAGCCAGTCCCGCCCCCGTCGGTGGCCTTGAGGCTCGAGGCCACGGAGCGGGCCTCAGCCACCCGTCGGAGCCGAGCCCTCTCAGCCGCCGCCCATGCCGCCCCGAGCGGCCTGTCGGCGGCGAGGCCCGCGGCCGCGTCGGCGCCGGCGCCCCGGGCGAGGGCGCGCGCTCGGGCGTCGGCGGCGCCGAGGCAGGCCGGCCCTGCCTCGGCGCCACCGCGGCGAGAGCGGGCCCCGAGCCGACGGCCGTCGGCCAGCCCGCCCCCAGCGGCTGCGGCGGCAGGGGCCCAGACGCTGGAGCAGCTGGCAGCAGCCTCGCCCGTGCTAACGAGCGGCGACTTCGCCAGGCGGCCCGAAGGTCGCCGGCGGAAGCTCTCGCCCTCGTCGAGCACTGGCACCGCGTCCGTCAGCG